AAGGCTGCGCACGAACGCTCATCGGTTAACGACCCATCACATCGTTTACCTGCACACTTTGCGTAATTTACAAGGCCACGTGATCTAATCTGGCGCGTTGCATTTTGACATGACGACCAATCACTCCATTCACTAAGACTGCAGTCGACATTTTTACATTCAAAGCAATCGCCACTAAACCCTTCTTGGCAGCTGCATGTGTCCTCCTATGGTTTCCGAATTCCGCTGTTGTAGCAGAACTGATTGCATACTCTTTGATCAGTAAGCTTAATGGGGCAGGCATCTCTACCACAGGCCGGTTCCTTAATAACATTGCGTGTTCTAAACTGTTTATCCAGAGGTCCGCATTTTTTCGAACAAGCTGACCATTCGCTCCAAACACTCATGACACAGTCTTGTATCTTGCATTCACAGCATTAACCACTGTATCCAACTGGACAATCACAACGACTTTCAGAAATTGTCCGTCTGTTCAAACAAAATTGATTACACGACTTTTCCTTTGACAATAAAGAAGGTACCATAGACTGGCCACACACAGACGATCTGTCGATGTCACGTGTTCTAAACTGTTTCCCTAGCGGACCACAAGTATGTGAGCATGGTGACCACTGGCTCCAAGGAATCATGGCACAGTCTTGTACATTGATATCACAGCACTGACCACCGAATCCATCAGGGCATCTGCAATCTTTTACTAGAGCAATTAAACTGCCTCCGTTGAAACAAATTTTATTACATGGTTGCTGTTGTGCTAAGACAGACGTACATGCAATTCCTCCACATTCTGGAAACTTATCTACCACGCGCGTTCTGAATCTCGTTCCAAAATCACCACACCTTTCCGAACACGTTGACCAGTCGCCCCAAGAAGTAATGACACAGTCTTGTATCTTGCATTCACAACAAATGCCACTGTATCCGATTGGACAATTACAACGCCTTTCAGAAAGTGTTCCTCTGTTCTGAAAAATTCGATTACATGGCTGCTCTTCTGACAACTCGGAAGGGAACATAGTCTGCTCACATACAGACGATCGATCAATATCACGTATTCTAAACTGTTTTCCTAGCGGACCACACGTATGTGAGCAAGATGACCACCGGCTCCATGGGATCATAGCACAGTCCTGCACATTAACATCACAACACTGACCACCAAACCCATTTGGACATCTGCAGCCTCTGCCTGAACCGACCAACCTTCCTCCGTTATAGCACTTTCGATTACATGGCTGTTGCTCGGAAAAGACAGATGGACATGTTCTTCCACCGCATTCTGGTAACTGTTGGATATCTCGAATTTTATAGCTTGTCCCCAAAGGTCCACAAGCATGCGAGCATAGTGACCAATCACTCCACTGAGTCAATTTACAGTGTTTTATTTTACACTCACAGCATTGGCCGCTATATCCGGATGGACACTTGCAGATGCCGTCTTCTATTCTACCACTATTGTAGCAAATTCGATTACATGGCTGCTGTTCTGTCAGTGACGATGTACATACACTTCCACCACATTCTGGAGTCTGGTCAATATTGCGAGTCCTGAATGTTGTTCCGAGATAGCCACATTCACGCGAACACGTTGACCAGTCACTCCACTGGCTCATTTTGCAATCTTTTACTTTACATTCGCAGCACTTCCCAGTAAATCCACTTTTACATTTACAGCCGTTTCGTTCCGACAGGGTAGTACCTCCATTATAACACAATACGTTGCACCTACGTTTCTCAAAATGCTCTCCATAGCAGTAATTTCCTCCATACTCTACTGGTATCGAGTACGATCTATTTCTATGTTGTGTTCCATTTACACCACATTGTTGAGAACATTCACTCCATTGAGTCCAGTTTTGCCATTTACAATTATCCGGAGGTCGAAAGTGTATTTCCCTACCTAGGAAATAACCAGCTAGTAGACCCACACAACAACAAACAAATATACCAACAACTACACCTGCCACCTTTTTGTCAGCCATTTTCTACTGTTGTGGATACGGTATACTTGATAAAGTTTTGACGGTCTAAACTGCAGTCATTATTTGTATAGTCTATGCAGGAAGCTGTAATTATTTATCCATTCAGTGATAATCACACAAAATATGTAGGCCTATGTATGTAGTGGAAATTATTTAGCGCATAATACCGAGGTCTCTATGCTCTGAGTGAAAAAGAATTTCAAGAAAGCAATATTCAAATATTTACAAAGTTATTATCTGGGATCTTCAACTCATACGCAC